CCCCCCCCCCCCCCATAAACGCTCCTGACAACCGCCAAAATAAAAGCTTGCTGACTTTAGGTTTGAAAGTGTTGAGAATTCATATAAAAAATAAAAAAGTAAAAATAAAAAAATTTAAATATTACCACCCTATTTTTTTAAGTGTACTATACAATAATTGTATTTTTGTTTAATACTACTTTTTTATTTTAAAATATAATAGTATTATCACACTTATTACTTTGTTTTACTTTATTTTAAAAATAGACTAAATAAAGTGCAATAATGCTATTATTACTATTATTAATTATTTTATTTTTTATAATTATATTTAATGGGTTACACTATGTGCAGTTTGAGCACCAAACCAAATCTCCAGGTGCTCTCATGAGAACCAGACTGAAAAACTTGTGTGCACCCCTGGTTATGCCATTATTTGAATGAACTACAACTTTGTTACGTACCAGTTTATTATTGTCGTGTCATCGGATCATCAGATTTACCCACCCCTAAATATACAGTGGGTATAGGAAAGAATCATCCCCCCTTTAAAATAATCACATTTTGTTGCTTTGCAGCCTGAAATGAAGACAGACACGGTTTTTGTTTTATCCAGCTGTATTTACTCAGTGCAACTTATAACATCCAAGTGAAAGATATAACACCAACATGTCAGAAAAAAATTTAAATAAATAAATAAAAAAGCAGAATCACTGAGTTGGAAAAAGGACCACCTTTTGCTTTAATTACAGCCTTTAGTCTGATGGGATATGTCTCTACCAACTCTGCACATCTAGACTTTGTGATATTTGTTCACTATTCTTTGCAGAACTGCTCAAGTTTAGTTAAATTTGATGGTGACTGTTTGTGGACTGCAGTCTTCAAGTCATTCCACAGATTTTCAGTGGTGTTTAAGTCTGGGCTCTGACTAGGCCATGCAAAGGACATTCACCTTTTTCCTCCTTTAACCACTGTGTGCTCAGTTTTGCTGTGCTTTGGGTCATTGTCATGTTGGAAGGAAAACCTTCCCATTGACAACTTTCTGGCAGAGGGCAGCAGATTTTCCTCAAGAATTTGATGGTATTTTGCCCCATCCACTTTTCGTTCTATCCTGACAAGTGCTCCAGTCCCTGCTGCAGAGAAACACCCAGAACAGGATATTAGCACCTCCATGCTTTACTGGAGGAATGCTGTTCAATTTGGTTGGTGAGCTGTATTTGATTTCCACCAGACATATTGTTTGGTGTTGAGGCCAAATAATTACATCTGAATTCTGTTATTTGGATGGTGAGCTGTATTGGATTTCCACCAGACATATTGTTTGGTGTTGAGGCCAAATAATTACATTTTAGTCTCTTCTGCCTCAGAATCTTCAAGGTGTGTTTTGGCAAAGCTCAAGTCGTGACTGCATGTGGCCTTTCTTGAGAAGTGGCCTTTTTCTTACAACCCTCCCATACAAGCCACATTTGTGAAGAATTTGTGATATTTTTTTCACATGCACACAATGACCGCCCTTTGTCATGAATTCCTGCAGCTGTTTCAGATTTGCTTTAGGCCTCTTGCTCGCCTCTCTGATCAGTTTCCTCCTGGCTCTTTCATCCAGTTTGGAGCGACGTCCTGATCCAGGGAGGGTCTGTGTTGTACCAAATACCTTCCACTTCTTAATAATAGACTTTCACTGTGCTTCTAGACATTAATAAAGCCTTTGAAATTTTTTTGTATCCATCTCCTGACTGTCCACAACTTTATCCTGGAGATCTTTTGACAGTATAGTCAGTTGTTAATTGTTTGCTTCAGTTGCACTACCAAGGAAATGCTCCAGGAAAGCTCTTTTCATGCTGAGCCAATCAAAATGACCACAGCTGATCACAGTTGAAAGTCAAATGGCTTTGTGTGCCATTAGCCATGTTTCCATCCAAAGATGCAAATTTAACTTATGTGCAAAACTGGAATATCGCGCAAAACATTTGCGAATAAAGTACCGTTTCCATCCAACGAGATAAAGAGAACAAAATCGTCACTTCCTGATAAACTGGCACTAAATATCTGTAAGAAAACTAGGAGAAGCCACTGAATATAATCATTTTCATATAAAATAAATTACTTGCGCTTCAGAGAGAGCAGACGTAACAAAAAATGCGGTCATTGCTTTTAGAGGTGGATGCCTGCTGTTTGGGAATGCAGTCATGTAAGACAGTAATTATACAGAAATACTTTGATGACAGACTTTCCTCAGGCATTTCAGAATGACCAAAACAACATATAGATGCTGTGAAAGAGATCGGTCCGCTGGTTAGTCAATTTATCCCGTCTCATAACGCAAAGTCACATGGCTTTTTCAATGCGCATGGTGGAATTTATTCGGTAAATGTGTTTCCATCGTAGTTTATGCACATTTTTAGAATTTATGCGCATCTTGGCGTTTCCATCCAATGTTTTTTTATGCGATAATCCAAAATGCGCATAAAAATAGGTGGATGGAAACATAGCTACTGAGAAGGTGATTAGCTACACCTGATTGAGTTTACAAGTCATTTTTAGGAGGGGGTGATCCTCAGTGATTCTGTTTTTTATTTATTTTTTTATTTTTTTCTGACATGTTGGTGTTATATCTTTCACTTGGATGTTATAAGTTGGACTGAGTAAATACAGCTGGATAAAACAAAAACTGTGTCTGTCTCCATTTCAGGCTGCAAAGTAACATAAAATAATGTGATTATTTTAAAGAGGGGTGATTCTTTTCTACTGTATAAAAGGCAAAGTGGGATTGTTTTTTTTACATGTTGGCCAAGTGGTGCCTTCCTGTCAAAGTGGGTGTTTTTTTGTCCAGGATAAACTACTGTGTAGAACAGACTTTAATGCCAGAAGTCTGGAGACTATAGGCCACAAGAGTAATGCATGTCTGCTGTTACATTTAATGCTGATTAAGCTAATACTCCATTATGATAATTTGATCAGTACTTTTAATGCGTTACTGTTGTATCTTCTCAGTGTACTGAAGGTGTCTCAGGTGTTTAATGTGTGCATTAATGTATTATGTTATGTGAGTGAAGAACTCTCACCTTTTCAGATGTACTCGCCTCTCCACCTGGTGCAGTGTCCCACCTCACTGGCTGCCATGCTCTAAAGATAGCCGAGGTTTCTCTAGCATGAATGTCTTGCTGCACTGGTACCTTATAAAACAGGCAGCAGCACGTAAATGTAAAAAGATAGACAGAAAGAACTCTAGTAGGGTTGTGACGGTGAGGAAATTTTCCCACCGGTTAATCGACGTGTGACAACACCGGTAATACCGGTATCACCGTGGGGGCGGGGGCGTTCCCTCTTTTCCTGCTTTCCTTTGCTTTTAAATAGCTTGTAAAAGCGGCCTGCACAATTTACTTTCAATTTCAAATAGTGGCAATTTGGCGTAAAGCAATTGTTCGTTTGAATTTTCCCTCTTTTCCTCGCTTTCCTTCGCTTTTAAATAGCTTAAAAGCGCTGTGCGCATTTTACTTTCACGTTTCATTCAGTTTTTTAATTGTAGTGTCTGTTCTTTTACTGAACTAAATTATTTTTATTACTATAAAAAATCAAAACGACGGTGGGGGGGTCGGTGCCGGTGGGCATGTGACGTAACCGGTGTTGCGGCTTAACACCGATTTCACCGTCAGCACCGTCTATCACGGCAAGCCTAAACTCTTGGAATACAAAAGGGCAGATGATTACTTTTAACAGGCAAGCAGATTCTCTTCTCTAATTCCCCTAGAATCCCACAGCTTAATATGCATACAGAAACACCTACACAAACATACACAATCCCTACACACTCACTTTTTTTCAATTTTATGAACCTTTCCTGCAGACTTTTGTCGCACAGGTTGTTTTGTAGTTGAATGATTGAAACCCTAACTAACCTGTCTTATAACCTCCCTAATCTTTGTCTGTCCTTGCATTTCAAACACAGTGGACAGAGGTAAGAGACACTTCAGTTTCACTTTAAGTGTTTTGCTAAGGTTGCGTGTGAATAGGATTGTGAGTGCATTTTGTGTACATCCTGGAAATGAGTGTTTTTTTTCTGTTTGTTTGTTTGTTTGTTTGTTCTAAGTCCTTGACCTAAATAAAAAAGTGTTTAATCTCTTGCTACTTGTTAGTTGATGGAAATGTGATTACAGCATTAACAGCTCATACAGTATTACTACAGGCTGATGGTGTTCCACCTTACATTGATTCTCTGTTTGCTTGATCACAGCCTCTGCCCCATGGAAAAAAAAATCAGGTAAAGCACTTTGTCTACTCTTTCTGTCTTGTATGAGACACTTGACCTAATGGGTCTGCAAATATTTCTTATGGGATTAAACCTGTCCATCTGTTACAGAGTTCGAGTCTTCACAAGCTACAGAGAAGAAGAGGACAGTTTATCAGATGGCTTTGAGTAAGAGAGTCATTGGTTTTATACAGAGGGACTGTCATCTAGTCATGCATAAAGTTAAGAAATCAATGGATAGTTCACCCAAAAATTAATATTTTGTCATCAGTTATTCACTGTTATGTCATTGTATGACTGAGCACCAAAGAGATATTTAGCAGAATGTCTGAGCCACTCTATTTCATACAGTGAAAATGGGTGGAGAAAAAAAAACAACAACAACAACAAAAACAAAAAAAGCATCATAAAAATAGTCCTACTCCAAGTCTTATGGACCACATTCCAAGTCATTTGAAGCCATATGGTAGTTTTGTGTAAGGTATAGTATAGGCTAGGGGTGTCCCCGACTAAGGATTTTCATAGTCGAATCGAAATTTTCTAATCTTGCCGATGTTCGACTGATAGTCGAATCATATGTTTTGGGGGCGGGGCAAAATACATTACCAAGAGTCAAGTCAGACATTTGACAGTCGTTATTACGTTAACACACAGGGAAAATGTGTAACGGACGCCTCGCAGATACAAACGGGGTAAATAATGTTTTATGTTTTGATTAAAAGGTAGTTAACATTAAACGTCAGCGAAACCCTAAGAATTCACAACATTTTTTTAGAATAGTGCTCTCATTATAACGTTATGTAATATGACAGTAGTTATTAATGTTCTGCATTTCTGTTTTGAGCTGTGAGTACTGAAGATGACCAGAATAAAGCATTTGAAAGCAGGTTTTTAATCGATGGGGTTTAACTCATCATTTATCTCATATAGAATATGCTTAATTATTTATACAACATAACGTTAATATTAAGACTTATAGACTATCTGCACAAAATGCCCCGAATGCACATGAACGTGTCTGCGCGGCTCTGAATTAACTCCTTTTGTGGACGCGTTCATCACGCAACAACGTGCAGAAACAAAGCAACTAAACTCTAAAAATTCACAGCGTTTTATTATAATAGTGTTCTCATTATAATTGTTATGTATATGACAGTCCCAGTCATAGTTATTAATATTCTGCATTGTTGTTTGTCCTGCTCGCGCTGCGCTCTGAAGAGATAATCACCGTAGTACTATAATGAAGCGCTTTACTGCAGCGCAACTCAACAAAATGCATCTTATACGAGATAAATAATATATACACGATATATATAAACCGGCTGAAATGTTTTGAAATCACTTGTACCCTACCTGATCGAAAAAATCAAGTCTTTCACTTTGCCTGTGTCAATTTGAGTCTTGTTAAAGTTTTAAATCCCTGCCGCCAAGATGCTCCTCTGTCGGTCACGGATTATGGAAAGTGAAACTTAAATCTATAGGGGTGGTTGGATTTATTCACGCAGGTTAAAATATTTATTTGAAGCTTCTTTCTTTTCAGATTCTTATTTACAGCATTATTTTAATAGGCTGTATATTAACTTATTGGGAGAAAACCAGTAGTTCTATGTGAAATCAGACATTTGGGCACCCCCATATAGCCAAAATGGCATGATCATAATACCCCGTGAATATTCGACTGTGAGATTGGTAGTCGAATCAGTCTCCTCCTATCGAAGCATCGAATCTTCGCCTATTCGGGGTCACCCCTAGTATAGGCTGAAATGTATTTTATTATTCATTGAAAATCATGCTTGACAGGCATTTACTTTCATTGTATGGAAAAGAGCAGCTTTGTTATTCTGCTATAAATAAATCCCTTTTTGTTCCATGGAAGAAAGAATGGGTTTCAAAGACACATGGGTGAGCAATGATGACAGAGTTATTATTTGTTGGGTAAACATCTCCTTTAAATCAATTCAAGCTGAGAATAAATAGTTAGTAAATTATTATTTATTATAAATTATAATTTATTTATTTCCTTCTCTCTCTTTTATTCGATGTCAGATAAACTGGATGAGATTTTAGCAGCAGCACAGCAGACTATCAGTACCAATGAGGCCCCAGGGCCCCGGGTTCAGGGGATAAAAAGAGAACGGGGCAGAGGCTTTTATAATGAGGTGTGTTTGTGTATGAGACCATTGAAGCAGTTATTAAAGATCACTAAGAAAACTGATGATTATGAAATGAGATTTATTAGATGGTGCTCTGGATTTACTGAGCTATATTTTTTGCAGAAATTGTTTAGCAAAATTGAATTCTTTTAAAAATTGGTGCATAATGTTTATAATGTTCTTTCTCTCCATGTACTTTGGCAGCCAAGTTTTGACCAAGCAGGAATGGGGATGACATCATCTGGGGCAGGGTTAGGATACGACCGTGGTCAATTTATGTCTGGCCATGGCCCCCCGCACGGTATGCTGCGACAGAAGTCCATCGGTGAGGCTGTCTGTTAGTCCATCTGTCTGTCTGTCCACCTGTCTGTCTAACCATACTGCTGTACGTCTATGGCACGTGCATTTAGTGCACTCAAAAGAGTGCAGCTGTGGATTTGCTTTAATGCTTATCATCTGTAATTTTTTATTGCTCTCGAATAGAGACCGTACATTTCAGTTTGTTGAAACAGTCCATAAGAATCTTGTCAGGGGTTTGACTGGATTACTGGAGAGACCAATTGCCGTAACAAATGTGAATGAGATTTATTTCTTCTGGTGCTCAGCATCAGTGTTCATTCTTGGTTGGACTATAAAATGTACAGCCCATTTATAACCCCCAAGATTATTAGCACACTATCTGTATGATTAGAAATGTTTTCTGTTCCATGCCTTAAATATGTAAACTGGCAATGTCAACATGTGCTTAAATGTTCAATATTAAAATGTTCACTTTCTTGGGTTGCACAATTGGTTAACTTTATTTACATTAAAAAAACAACAGCATTTGTTTATTTTGCATGCCATGAGATGTAGCTAATGTGTATTTGTGTCACTTCTTCTGTTATCAGGATGACTTTATGTATGTATTACATTTGTCCTTGTATAACACACTGTAACTAAAAGTGGTCTGCACTGACACAAAACAGCATTGCTGAAGTAGAGAGGTGAATGGCTTGTACATGTTACTGCTAGGAGATAAAAACAGACAAGCAGACAGACCGACATACTACAAGATGGTCTCATTTCTATATCCCATTTTATTGCCCTCTGCTCATTTTTAGGAAATAAAGATATCTTTTCATCTCTTTCTCTTTTCTCACATACAGCTGATGCACATTCTCTTTCTCTCTCAAACATATTTTTCTTTTGTCTTTGTTGTTTTGTAACACTCTTTTCTATTCATACCTCCTTCATTTATTTCCTTGAAAATGTATTTCATCTCTCTCTTTTTGGTTTTCTTTTTCTGCAGGGGTTCCAGAGGAAGAGAAGCAGTTCCTTCATCCTCCAGCCATGAAGTTTGCCCGCAGTCTTTCAGTACCTGGCCCAGATGACATCCCTCCTCCCCCTACTACAGCTCCCCCTGAGCCCCCTTTCTCCTCAGCTCCCCCTCTTGGCTTTAGGGGCAAGACATCTCAGCAGCCGTCTGTTTCTGTGTCCCAATCCACTTCCTCTTCTGCACATTTTCAGCTCTACTCGCAGTCAGTGCATGTCACTCATGGACCCAGAGACAGGTCCCCTGGACCACCTGCAGGGTCCGGAACCGGGGACCTCCCTTACTCCCATGCTCAAGCCCACCCCTCTGTGCCAAGCAGGACTGCCTCCAGGAAGGTGATTGGGTACACAGGGGACCTTGCAGGGGCTGGAGGAGCACCAGGAGCCAAGGCTGCAGCATTGAGAAGGGGCTACAGCAATGCAGTCCCACCCACTAGTGTCGCTACTGTTATTCCCCAACAGCAGCAGACTACTCAGAGCCAACCTTCCAGGATGGACCACAGTGTGATAGGGGCAGGAGCAGGGGCAGGTGGTGTGCTGAAAGGTGGTGCCCGGAGAGGGAAGGGGCCCTTGGTGAAGCAGTCAAAGATAGAGGATTTGCGTCAGGGCCAGGGCACACTGGAAGGGAAGGGGTCAGTGGAGAAGAGCTCTATTCCTATCCCAACCATCATTGTTAAAGCTCCTTCCACCAGCAGCAGTGGACGCAGTAGGAGTGACAGTTCTAAACCCCAACCTGTTGTTCCCCCACCTGCACCCACCGTTCCACCGCCAGCCCCTCCATCTAGACCTGCTCCACCACCCCCATCACTGCCATCACTTCGTACTCAAGAGAGTTTGGACTTTACCAGCCAGTTTGGTGCTGCCATAGTAGGGGCAGCTCGCAGGGATCGAGAACGATTCCATGAAGCACGACGGAAGAGTGCCTCCTTTTTTCTTTCTGCTGAGGAAGAGTTGGGTGGAGCAGGAGAAGTGGGAGGACGGACCCAGACTTCCCAACAGCAGCTGAGTTCCCAGCCTTCACCACGCCTGCGACCATCCAAATCTATAGATGAAGGCATGTTCTCAGGTGATACTTTTATCCACCACACACGCAGTATGCCTCCTGCCTTTGGCCTGCCTGAGTACTCCTCACCTGCTCCTCCTGGGGATTACCAGCCTAAGTCTGTACCTGCTGACTTCTATGGGGCGGGAGGCCGACAACAGCAGCAGCAGCAGCAAGCCTCCACCACAACTTTCATTCACCCATTAACGGGGAAAGTTCTGGATCCTTCATCCCCACTAGGCTTGGCATTGGCTGCACGGGAACGTGCCTTGAAAGATGATGGTCGCATTCGTAGGGAGAGGACCACTGAACATCATTTTAGCCGTCAGTTGTCCAGCATTGGGGCCTTTCCCTCATCCACTGCACAACCAACGTCGCACATCTCCTACTCAATGGCCTCGTCTTCCTCGGCAACCTCCTCTGCTGCTCAGTCCTCAAGCTCCTCCTCGTACCTAGTTACATCCTCATCGCTAGCTGCCACCACCACATCCACTCGGCCTCCATCTCCCAGGATCCTGCGTGGAGCAGGAAGCAGCTGGAGTGAGGAAGCAGGGGGTGGAGAGCCCAGTTACAGCAGCAGTCCACACAACCAATGACCCAGCAGCCTCGACGCCCCTCATTCTTGAGGATGGAGAGTGAGGCTGGGGCATATATCCTTTCCTTGACCCCACCTTCTCCACCTCCAACAACAGCCCCTACACGTCCTTCAGCAGGTGAAGGTGAAAGTGGCACAAGTCTGATGGTTCTCCCTCCCCCAGCTCCCTCAATAGATGCAGATGATGAGTTTGTGTTTGCTGATCCACTCCCTCCACCTCTGGAGTTTGCCAATAGTTTTGATCGTGGTTTGGGTTATTCTGCAGTGTTGTCTCACAATGTGACAGCGCGCCAGCAGCTTCATCCTACACCACCACCTCCCCCACCACCTCCTCCCCCTCCAAAAGACTCCTTTATGACTGGGTTCCCACCTCACACACCCCTGCCCTCACCGCAGGCAGGTGATTCCACAACTTCCAGCCTTACTTCCTATGACAGTGAGGTTGCCAACCTCACCCAGTCAGCCCCGTCTCCCTCTTCATCTTCCCCCAACCCACTACTGCCTCCCTCCCCCTCCACCTTGCAGCCCTCTGGGCCACCTCCACCTCCTTCTGTATCACCTCCGCCACCACCCACCTCCTACCATAGACCGTTTGGCCTATCTCAGTCACAGCACTTATATAACAATACAAATTCAGCCGGACGCTCCTCTTCTCCCACACCACCTCCTCTCTCTATTCCAGCTCCACCTGCCTACCGGGGCCCTCTAGCAGCAACATCCACCCCAGCAACTTCTGTATCTCTCAGAGGCGCCTCAACTGTGACCGCAAGCTGTTCCAAAACTGCTTCTACAACTGTAATCTCTTCTACTACTGCTGCTGCTGCTGTTGTCACACCACATACACGCTTAGCAACCGTCTCCACAGTAGCTACAGGGGGTAGCAGGCGGCCCAGTGCAGAGCATCATCCACCACCAAGTGCTGCTGCAGCTATGAGTGGTGAGTCCCAGGAGACAGTGGTGGATTCTGGGATTGAGGAGCTGGACAGCCGAAGCAGCAGCGACCATCACTTAGACAACATCCTTGCACTCAGTGGTAGTGGGGTCAGAGAAAGGTTGGAGAGAGCAGGGATGAGTAGCATAGGTGGCGTTGGAGAGAGAGGTAGGGCAACAGAGGCCGACAGAGCAAGTGGGACAGAATTTCTAGAGTCTTACATGAGCTATCTTGATGGACAGACTTTTGAAATGCATAATGCCAAAGCCGCAAGCACTGCATCCACCTACCCAAAAACACAGAGGTACAGAGAAGGGAGCCGGGCTGGAGATCTTCGACACCAAACCAGCACGGCACCCCCTGCATACCACCATCGTAGGGAGGAGGAAGAGGAGGAGGATGAGGCAGAAGAGGGAGAGGAGGAGGATATCAATGCCCGTGATGGCTATGGAATGAGGGAAGGGCCAGGGATTGCTCGCTCCTCTGTAATGTACTTTGACCGGCCCCGCACTCCAGAGATAAAACCGCTGTGGGGTGATGGGTCGGCCGGAGCAGCGCAGTCCATAGGGGAGGGAGGGGTCCAGACTGGGGGGACATATGTGGAGGCACGTAAACTACATCCTCCCATGTCCGGTATGAAGGCAAGCATCATCAATGAACTAAGCACCAAATTACACCAGAGGAGCAAAGGAGCAGAGAACTGGGGAGCTCAAAGATCACTGAGCAGACATAGGTATTTGTGTGTTATCAGTATAGGTATATGTGCATGACTGTGTGTTAATGTCTGCATGGTGGCCTTGAAAGGAGGCATGTGGCATGAGAATCTCTAAGCTGCACGAGCATTGTGTGATTTGGTATGCCATGAGTCATAATCAAATTATGAGCCATTCAGTTAAAGAACTCCTGTGATATTCAGATTTTAGTGTGTGAAAATAGTTTTGTAACTGCCATTTTATTATCAGTGTCTCAAACACCAATGAACTCTGTGTGTGTATTGTGTAACTGTGTCTGTTTAAACTGTTCCTCTCTTTTGTGATTTCTGCTTTTTATTGCACTGTCCATGTACGTCTGTCTGTCCCTCATCAGACACAGGTAACTGCTGCACTATACCGCTCTATCATTCTCTTTTTCTATTACTCCACCCTCACCTGCCAATCCTCTTGGGGACCCCTACTTCTCCCCCTCTCCCCCTCTCTTTGCCCCCTCCGGGGCTCCACCTCCTCCAAATTCCTCTCTGGTGGTCTCTCGCTCCTTGTCCCCAACCCACTTCTTGTCAAGGACATCATCCCCACCACTTCACCCCATTCCTCCCCCCACTTGCCTGAGTTATCCACACCTCCCTCCTCCTTCACCCACCAAACCCTTCGCCTCCAAACCACTCCTATACTGGACCAAGTACGATGTTGCAGATTGGCTGGGCTACCTGAACCTGGGTGAGCACAGGGAGCGTTTCCTAGACAACGAGATTGATGGCACGCACCTGCCCTCTCTAACCAAGGACGACTACCTGGACTTGGGTGTAACCAGGGTTGGACATCGCATGAACATTGAGAGAGCGCTCAGGAGAGTGATGGACAGGTGAGGGGAGAGATAGAAGGGGAGGCAGAGAGACGCAAGGGAGGACAGCGATGGAGAGGGATTAGGGTGAGAAAGGGGTAATGCATGAACAAAAAAAGCTAGTATAGATGAGGTAAAACATTGATATACTATTGATCGCTAACTTCTGGGAACATTTGGAGTGGACCGCTGCATGAGGTCCAGGATGGCATGGGACAAGAAAAGGAGAACAGAAAGGGGGATGCGGGCAAACAAGAGAAAAAATATTTCCTTATACTTTCCACCTTCCCCCCTATCGTCAGGCTGTCTTCTAGCACTTTCCCCATTTCTGCCCTCTCCTCCCGAGATGAACGGACAGACAGAAGGAGAGATGAGGCCAACCGGAGTTGAGAGGACAAGAAAGATGAGGTGACAACTGCTGCCATCAGAGATTATTCCCTGAATTAAGAAAAATGCAGGAAGAGATGATTTCAACATCAAACTGCCGACTCGCAGATGGAGAGATACAGGAGAAACAGAGAGCATTGAAGGCCTGTCGAACTGTGAACATGCCTGCGCTTACGTGTGTTTCAGTCAACGAAAACATGAACATGAACATTCACATCCGTACATATCAACATTTAAACAGAACACACTTAGTTTGAGCTTGCAGGCACTCACAAGGTAATCAAAATGGAAATAAATGAATCAAATAGTGGAATCTAACTCTACCAGAATACCCAAGATCAACAAGAGAAGGTAACATACTACATACCTGAGCCAAATAATTTAAGTAAAACAATCAAAATGCTCTTTAGCTTTCCCGTTTTTCTGTAGTTCTTTAGGAAGAGATAGGGAGAAAGAGAGATACTGAAACCTCCTTTGCTATCTTTTTCTTTTTCTCAGATTTTGAGCTGAGTCTGTATTACCGGCAAATATTTACTAATTGTCTAATTTTTAGAGTAGGTTCAATGGAGACCAATGCAGGGAGGGCAAGTAATGACAAACCTCCTGTCTGGCATGACTAGGGAAGCCCTTAAAATAGAGGTCAGTTATTTGGTAAGACTGTGTTTATGCTTGGGTTCCTGTTGTTTGTGTGTGAGTGTGTGTGTGCGCATACTTGATAATGTGAAAGGTTATCACTAGAGGCATGACAGTGATTTGTTATGTGATTTACCTCACCAATGGAGGGATTCTATTTTGCAGAAGCCAGATTGGGGCTTGTGCTTATCTTGTATTTCACTAGAACTTCTTTACCTTCTCATGTCTTATAATGAAATAATATACATACATACATATATATATATATATATATATATATATACACAGACTGGTCACTGTATTACAAATCCGTAGCAAAAATAAGTGCCCAGACCAACATAACAGACTCAGAAGCACTCTACCACTTACACACATGCACTCAGTACATTCTCAGCCTACTGATAGCAACATACACAAACGTACAACAACACCTGTTGATGACGATACACTCATCTCTTTTATTTATATAACACATAATGGGACACAGTGAAATATCTATGTATGGATACAAGATGAACATAATGTTATAACGCAAAAAAAATATTTTAAAGGAAGATGATACAATATTGTAAAAAGAAAAGTATATATATATATATACTGAAAATGTATCAAAATTTTTACCACAGACTCTCAAAATATAGAGGTGACAATGACTTCAACGAACCTATCAACGATATCAAGCCTCCATTTTAAAAGAGGAGACAACATGGAGAATGAAGAACTTATTGTATTTTTGATGTTTAAGACTGGTAAGTATAGTGATGTTGATAACAGTAAGGACAATGAAAGAAATTATCATTCTGAGATGGAAAAAAAGGATTCCAAGTTTTAAAGCATCTCTGTCTTCCAAAATGTTTAACATGAGTTTAACGTGTAATCAAATCATGCTTTCTACACATCCTGTGTTTCCTGTTGTCTCATCTTTCCACAGTCAAATTCATCAAACCAGTTTGCTTCAATAGCAGCTGGTGTTGTACCCTGATGAATGGTAAATATTCTCACTTTCCAATATTGTCCACTAGGTGGGGGGGGGGGGGGGGTTCTGGTTGGGAAAAGGAAGTATTTCAGTCTTTGTTCAGTCCTCAAGCTCTGCAGCTTAGATTGTCAATATTACAGCTTCTAATAATGGAACAGTATTCAGACATGCTTTCATGCTGCAGAGATATGCATAAATATGCTGAGGATACATGCACATTGAAGATCACATGGCCATTAAAGGGTCTGGGCAGTGTGACCTATAGGATGAGTTCATGGATCACACACAGGGGCAACTGATGCAGTAGCTGTACAGGGTGTGCAGAAAGCATCTTTTTTATTTTTATTTTAAATAGAAAATTAACTATGAGCAGATAAGAGGTTATTTACAGAATATATATATGTGTATGCAATTATATATATTCATATACACATATGAAATACAAATGTTTTAAGAAATGACTAAAGGTTATTAGAATTATAATAAAAGATGCAGGAATTACTTTGAGTGGCTTGTGGTTTGTTTACTATCACACCACCACTCACAGGGGGTTATTTGACATAACACGTGTTTGCATACATAATGCATAAGCCAAAATAACAGCTAATTTTACACAAAACAGCCGGTTCTTAATATGGCGTGTAGATTTCTGAATGATTTTTTTTGTGATAGCTGTGCCAGCTTTGTCCTGAGTAGTGAAGCTACAAATCCTCCAGGTCCTGCACATTCTCTGGCTTTGCCAGAGATTTTTCTGCACATTTCCAACAGGAATGTGAAATGATTCGGATTCAGCTCTTCACACTACAACAATTAAGGGACTCGTACAAGACGATTACAAAAGATGCAAACATTCATAGATGCTTAAGGCAGCAATACACTACCTTGAGAGCCAAATAATTGTCATTTTGTCTTAAGACATGTTTTATGCAGCTTCTGAATGGCAGCAAGTTCACATATTTCCCTTTACAAGCTTGAGACTGCCAGGAGAATGGGCTTCTCCTGCTGCTCAATCTTGTTCCTCCTGCTTTCCTCATCTAGACATATTGGGATTATTCATTGTTAGTTACCTAATGTGCTCACGAGTGGTTTTCCTGCAAAAGTTTTTCTACATACAATGAAGCAATATTGCATTATGAAAAGCACTACACAAAATAAAGCGATTCATTCACTTGTTATAGAGTGTTCTAAGCCTGCTTTCTTGAGGGCCACAATTCAGCAGAGTTAAGCTCTAACCCAGGGGTGCCCAAACTCTGTCCTGGAGGGCCGGTGTCCTGAAGAGTTTAGCTCCAACCCCAATTAAACACACCTGAACCAGCTAATCAAGCTCTTACTAGACATACTAGAAACTTGAAGGCAGGTGTGTTGAGGCAAGTTGGAGCTAAACTCTGCAGGACACCGGCCCTCCAGGACCGAGTTTGGGCACCCCTGCTCTAACCCGTGTACCTGTAGTTCTGAAAAATGGAAAAACCCCAAAATTATGACAATGTGAGGGGAGATCAAATTAAGGCAGCTATGTATTTTGTTGTTTATGTGATGAATGGACACTTAGATTTGATTGTGACAGATTTGTTTCCAAGACACTTTCTAAAAGATTTGTCTGCAGAATTTTCCACAGACCCCCAACACGCAGGGTTCCCACTCTTTCATGAACAAGGACTTTTTCAAGCACCATTTATTTTATATCAATTTATTTTCAATTTATATCAATCACCTATCAAGTTCACACCCCAGCATATGTAGTGTCATGAAAGACCTTACATTACTTAACATTTCACTTACACTTAACATTTACATTAAATATTTCAGAGTAATAATGTTTTGAATGTGTAGGTTTCATAAATTTAGACCGTTTTGAGCAGTCGTGTTCAAGGAATTGAATGAAATCCATTGAAGTCAGTACTGGTAATATTCAAATTAAATTTCTAAAATATTGATCAAATATGCATCAAACTGATTTTTGCTATAGTTCTTGTACAAGATTTAAATTTGAAAGTAATAAAAAAAAAGTAATAAAAAGTGGTTAAATGTTGTAATAACATGGACCCCGCTGTCCCAGTGAGCATTTTGCTGACCAATGGTCATGCCTTAACTTTGACATTTCTGTATTGCATTCATTTTTAATATTTCTCATCATTTTAAAATCATTTTTGAATCTTTTTTTTTGGGGGCTCATTTCATCCGTAAAAAAAACCTGCCTTAATAAGGAGGAAACAATTCTGCCTTAAGGAAAAAATTCTGCACACCTTAATGAGTTTTTCATTTCTAGCCTTCATGGACAATTATATATCACTTCTAAATGATTAAATACAAAAATA